ATATTCCCCTGTTTTCAGATACCTCATATTGTAATCCATGGAGCTTTTCTCTTGTGGGATCAGTGTTCTGTCCTGGGGCAAGTTTATTGCTTAGATCAAGGGAAGTTTTGAGTGAGCTGCAACACATCAGGCTAAGGAGTGACAGCTGTTTGTAAAGAGGTGTATTAGAATACAGTTTACCGGTTGCTGCAGATCAGGCAATATGTCAGATCCCAGTTAAAATTAGGTATTCTCTTAAGTTTATATATTAAAAAAAAAAAAATCCTTGGATTATGTAATGTGTAAATCCAAATCCCTAAGGATTTAACACAATACTAGCAGTTCCCTACTTCAGTTCTGTGTTGCAGACCATTCACAAGCAGTCTGTATGTGTAGAACTCTGAAGCAGTTTTGTAGTATTGTAAGATTATCACAGAAGTGGTATGATGGTGAGCAGCATCAGTATTCAAAACCCTCAAGCGAAAGAATGAGATTGGAGATCATCTTGAGAGTAATCCGTTTACAAATATTTTACCCCTATTGATTTTTAATTTTTTTTTTTTTTTGTGTGTGTGTGTGTGTATGTGTGTATTAAAGGACCTTACCCTCTGCTGATGGTGCTGCTTTGGGGATTAGGTGTCAAACAGCAGACTGGTCTCAGAGGCTTAATACTCTGAAGAGAGATGGGAAAAGGAAGGGGAAAGAGTAGAGGACAGGCTAGGATGAAAAGGAAAGAGGCTGGGCTCTGGGTTATGTAGGTGTCAGATGGGACAGAGGCAGGGGAGATGGGCAGACATAGGAGAAGGCGGGGAAAGTATCCCCAGGGCCAGAGAAAGGACAGGACAAGGGCAGGAATGGGTAAAGTATAAATATAGGAAGCATAGTATCTCGGCCCCTGAGCTGAGCTTAGGAATTGATTGCACTGCAAGTAAATACCTCTGAGCTCCCTGAGCTGCATGTGTGTCAGCTCCCTTCACTGGCTTTCCTTTGCAGGACAATGGCTGGCAATGGCAGCTACATTTAGGGCAGCGGTAGCACCTGTGCTGAGCTATGCTGCTGGCCCATCTGAGGGCATGTCTACTCCCACCTGGACAAAACACTGACTTTGCAAAACAGCGTGTTCAGGTGTTAAAGATCACCAGCATAAGGGTTTCTGATTAATAACATGTTGTCAAGCTATTTATTTTTCCCCCACAGGATAGCTTAGTCTGGTTTCTATGACAAAAGAAGCTACAGCATGCAGGACTTCTGCCTTCCTGCCTGCAGAAGCAGGAAATACAGATCTCTGTATGATGCTGTAAGGGGGTTTCTGAGGTAGCCAGAAATAAAAGATGTTGAGCTGGGCTCAGAAGAGAGACAGGTCCAAATCTGAGTGATTTCTCTGGACACCAGAGAATGAAAAGTGAAACCAGAGAATGAAAGGAGAGTGTGTGGGTAAGTGAGGATGATGAATGAGATACCGACTGAAGAAATCCAGCAGTGCACAGCGCACTTAGAAAGCATTTGAAGTATCAACAAATACTGCTCAGAAGGTCTTTCATGTATGAGGGAATCCTCAGGAAGAGGGTCCAAACTTGAAGAGATGCAATACTGCCCTGGTGTAATTTGATTAGAGCCCTGCCTCTGCCACAGCATTGCTCAGTAAAATTACTGATTTTTTTTTTTAATTATTTTTTGTCACAGCGCTAGCTAATTGTTAATTCCTTGTTTTCTGGCTCTGATTCTGCATTTTTTTCTATTCATACTCTATTTGCACTGTTCAAAGGCTTGATTCTTCCTGACTGTGGGGTAGGTGAGGGAGCAGGGAAGGAAAGAAGAGAGTAACTTTACCTCTCCTCACAGGTGTCTTGCTGACCCAGGCATTGTGCCTGAAGTGCTGGGAAGCTGGAGACAAGATTCTCTCCTGCTCTCTCATCACTTATCTACTCAGATGGAAAATAGAACATGCCTAGCTCCAGAACTCTCTGTGAGTGACCTGTGTGAACTGAGCCTGGCTAATAGTGGGTAAAGGGTGCTTAGGTAGCTGAAGAGAGAATCAAGTCCTTGGTCAGCTACTTCTCCTTTTGGCTGTACAGATTGCCATAAAACACTTCCCATCAGTGTCTTATGGTGCTGTGCCACCAAATGTGTTGTTTATGCGTCTCAAACGCTTTGGTGGCAGGGTGCCTGAAAAATAAAATAATTGTTCTCTAGCAATTTATTCTATTTTATTAATGATTGTTCATCAATGTAATTGCCAGTTAAACTTGCACTTTGCAACAAAACTCCAGGAGTACTTCTTGAATTTGCTGAGTGTGAGATGTTCACTTTGCTGAAATGTATTCTGCCAATGACACTGATACTATAGGCAATGTGGGTTGCTGTATCTACCTAACACTTTACATTGCTGATCCTGTTTCTTCATTAATGTAAATATACAAGTAGTGTATGGCACCTGGGTTTGGAAATAGTTGCAGGATCATGTTTTTACTGGAAAAGTCAACTGCTATAAATTGATCCACCACCATGGCTTCAGTGGAGCTACTACAGACTCCAACAGCTGAACATTTAGGGTGTAGTAATCTTGTAGAAAAGTGATTAATCTGTGGACAATACCAGGCTGTAAGCCTTGGTTCAACAGTTGCATTACCCCTACTAAAAGGGACTATGACTACAGAGGCAAAGATGTTAACTGTGAATGGCTTCTCTGCTAAGATGAGCAAGTAGAGGTAAAGCTATAAGGGCATGATTTCTTGAATAGAAATTATGTTCCTTTTGTCAGGGTGAACAGTGTCTTTGAGTGAATTGAGTCTTTGAAACAGACACACAGTTGGTTAGGAAGAGAAAGAAGAGGTGTTAGTCTCTGTGCAAACCTATATAGTCAGCATTTTCTCAGCTCACCTCCAGAAGACAGTTTTTCTCTGTGAGGCTTGAAAGCTGCAACTGGATGTATTAACTTTCTCATTAGTTATATTATTAGTTCCTATATTAGACTAAGATGAGACCCACCCACCCATGTATGTAGTCAACCCTCCAGATTATATGAGGTTCTTGGGGAGTAGAAGGGTGGAAGGAAACAAAGTCAGTATGCAGCCCACAGCTGACAGTGAGTAAATCGGAGGGGTGGATAGGCCATGCCTACTTCAGTAAAAAATGTAAAAAAATATGTATTTAGAAAAGCTGCATTTGTGTAAAGACATGTTTGAAATGAATATAAAAGATCTAAGCCATAATTAGGTGGTGACAGAAAAGAAGGAAGAGAGTTTGACGTAGCAACATTTCAGGGGAAAAGGCAGAAGCAGTCTTTTGTTAATGCTGGGGATTAGCAAACTAATTAGCTCAATCTTCAATGTAGGAAATTACCTAATACAAATGACACTACTTAACATTTGCAGGGCACTTAAAATACTTAAATGAGTAAAGGGCAGACTTCCAATGATGTTTATGTATCTACTAGATGTACTTTTATCTTTAGATGGTGAATTTTTTCTCAATGCTTATGGTATTTGCTCCCAAAGGTTAAATGGGAGTTTATTTACTATGGTGGTGTTGAGAGGATGACTGGGGGATTTTATTCATCTCAGTGCACTTCACTGCCACAGACCACTCAAAAGATCTCTAATTTTCTGATATTACCATCTTCTATGTCAAAGACTGTGTCAAGAGCAAAATATTATGACTTTCTCTAGGTATCCCACTAGTAGGCAAAAGCAGTGATGTTGAATGTCATTTTTGATCAGGTTGAGACCATTTTGATCTCTGTTACCCAATCATCTTCTTGTCATAGTGATTTGATGGCAGGACATTAGGGCTATAAAAACCCAATCAGGCCATCCCTAAAGAGTCACATGACAAAGAAATAAACTGGAAGAACCTGAATCAACTATATGTAGTGAGAAGCACAAAACCACTAGGGGAGACAGAACTTAGTGAACTATTTCTCCATAGAGATCACATTTGTCTGTGGGACAACATATTTTCAGAGTTAGCAGCTAGCCTGTGGGTTCACTGGCACTATTAAAAAATTGTTCTCATTGTACTGTGTCAGCATTTCGGTGTACATTCAAATCAGAAAATTTAGTTCTCATCTTTTTATTTATTTGCTTTCTTTGTGTCAAGATGGCTTTATATACTGAAGTTTATCTGGAATAAAAATTTATTCTTTTTATATTTGAACCAAAATCTTAACAATTCTGTTTTTCAAAGCAGTCAGTTGTTTGTAATGATATCATCCAGTATCTTGGTTTGTTAAAAATGGTTTCCTCTCCCCATATAAAAAATAAAAGAAATAAATCAGAGAAGAAATCTTGAAACAGATTTCAATCAAATGTGGAAAATTAAATTAAAAAAAAAAGGGGGGGGGGTAGAAAGATACATTAAGAATGTTCTTATCTAAGTGAAATTAGCCTTTATCTGGGACAAAACAACTGAACTACTAAGAGAGAAATTTAGTTTGTATGATAATGTTCCTTTAGGCTTACTTTCTTCTATCTGCACTCTTTAAATGCTATGTGATTCTTGCTTCTACTGTATGATTTTTTTCTTTCTTTTAATTGCTAAGCAGTAAGAATGAAGTGCTGGAAATAGATCTCATACACAACGAAAGCACTCTCTGTTGCAAAAACCCATACTTGTTTTCTTCCTTTGCTTTTCCAAAACAAAGCTTAAAAGTGTGTGTCCCGTGATGAGACATTTTAGCTTTTGCATTATTTGGGTTCAGTAATGCACATCAAACATTCACTGGTACATTAGTGGAGAGTGTTTCTTACTATCCTGATGTTGTCTTCTCTGTCTCTGTTCTGCTCAGCTGTCACAGCCAGTGAGTGCCCAGTTTGCTCACACATTCTGTCTTCACAGTTCTCACATCCCTAAAATTTTAGAGGGGAGAGTGAGCCCAGTCTCTGAGTTGTTAAGATTTGTTTTTTATCCTTTAAACTCTAAATATGGGACTTCGGATAAAATCTATAGATTTCTAACAAAAGCTTCTTTTTCTTTTCTTTCTTTTTTCTTTTTTTCTCCCCCCCCCCCCCCCCCCATTTTAGGCTTACTTTAACCTTATCCTGTCCCATGGACTTGAAGAATTTTCCTATGGATGTACAAACATGTACAATGCAGCTAGAGAGCTGTGAGTGTCCAACTGCTTTTTCTGTTAAGAATGAGATTTTACCTTCACATTTGGTGGTTAGATAGTATCTACAATATTGTATTTATGTGGTGAAACTCAATATTCCTATTTTGTAAGGGAAAATCATGGAGGAACAGTGATTTAACTGTCCATGAATGTGTCATGCAGGTCCCTTGTCTCTGTGCTGTTCCTGTTCTCTTCCCTTTCTGCCTCCTTGGGCACTTCACCTCACTTCCAGCAATAACCACAACAATGCTGTGCAGGAGAAATTTTTAAATCTTGGGAAAGTAAAAGCAATTAGTACACAGTCAGGGATTAGTACACATGTCTGATTGAGACATGCTATAGTCTTTTGAAAAATGAAAGCAACATACCTAATAAAGCAGAAGTCTTATTAGTATATTTATGCTGGTAAGCTAAACATGGCAAAGGCACGGACTTGGGTACTAGCATGCACCCATTCGTACCATGTAGCTGTCAGCACAAACTGTGGCACCATTTCAACCTGTACCAGGTAACAGACAAAACCAGGGGCAGCTCAGATAACAGCACGCAATAGCAATCGTTCCCAATAGTCAGTAGGTGCCAGGTCACCTTGGGTTTTTTGGAGAGGGGAGAATAGGTTTAGCTGTATGGATATTAGCTGTAGGCTACCACCTGCCTTTGTGCCCAGAGAATTATAGATTTATAGAATGGTTAGGGTTGGAAAGGACCTTAAGATCACCTACTTCCAACCCTCCGACATGGGCAGGGAGGCATGCTAGACTATGTTGCCCAAGGCCCTGATTTACCCATAAAGATGTAGCCATTGCAGTCAAAAAGATTCTTGTGTGAATCAAAGCCTCTCTTTTCCCTTCACACCTCTCACTGGTTAGCTCACAGGTTTATAAAAGCTGCTGTTTTCTTTTCAGCAAAGGCAGTTTAGAAGCCTTTGTTTTGTTGGTGCATACCAACTCCATCATCAAAGATGATGAAAATAAAGCAAATAAATAAAGCAGGCTGACATGTAAGCACAGAGAAATGTCATTTCAGTTGTAAACGGTATCTTTGATGGGCCAGCAAAATTACTTTTTAGTGGCAAACTAGGGCAGTATTTCAGAATGCTGCTACTTGTGCTACAGAATAATAGCGCAGTAATAGTAACTGGCAAGTAACAGCAGTAACACCGCTGTTAACCTGACAGTTTAAAAATATAACACGTATTGCAATAAAACACATGCTTCTTGGACATAATAATATTTGTTTTTGATGTTTTCCAGTCAGCTAACATCTAACAAACTCTAATTTCTTTATTGTAGTTGGCTACACTATGAATGATCTGATATTTGAGTGGCTAAGCGATGGACCTGTGCAAGTTGCAGAAGGTTTAACCTTGCCACAGTTTATTTTGAAAGAAGATAAAGAACTTGGTTATTGCACAAAACATTACAACACTGGTAAGCATTATACTATGTTTGTTCTTTTTTCTACAATCACCTTAATGGTATTTTGTGTCAATTGACAAAGGAAAAAGAGGTAAAACAAAAAAAAATTGAAATCAAAAGTCTTTTCAGCCACACTTATTTTTTACATCTAAAAAAAAAAGAAGAAATATTCTCCCTTTTGATTTTGTGTTTAAAAGATTTTGTTTCCAAATTTTCTTTAATTTCATTGAAGGTATTTTAGTATACATATTCTAATATTCTTAAAATCAGTAAGGAATTTAAGGTCTTAAAAAATAATAAAAAATCTAGCTGTCTTAATTTCCTTAAAATGGAACAATTTAACAAAGTGAATCTTTTCTTAAATATTGATTCATCACTTTTAAAGTACTGATTTTTTCTGAACTTGATATTTTTCTCCAGCATATCAAATTGCCAGTGAGGAAAAATATAAAATTTTCACCAGCTTTTATGTGTGGTCTAATTTATGAGGCATAGTATTTGAAAGGACAATGCTTTCATTGCTGATATGAATATTGTACAGGCATGGGAAATTAAATGTTTGTTTACTACTCCAGTGTTTTTCTCATATTTGCTGTTTTGAAGTCTCAAATGCTGTGTTTTCTGTCTTTAGCTTTACAGAGAAGACAGAACTCTGTTAAAATTTTGATCTAGCTGCTTGGAGTTATTTAATGGGGACAGCACTTAGAGAACAGTTTGCTGGGTGCTTGCTGGGATTAAATATAATCCCTCTCATCTAAAATAGCTTTTTCATGATTTCATCATAAGAGTGAATCCAGTTGCATCAAATACATTTGTTTTGCTGACTGAAATAATACAGCATGAGAGGTTCTGCTTCTGCCAAAAATAAAGTCACATTAATTTCTTATGAATAGACAGGTACTGTTTTTCATTTTTATAAATGCAGCTTTGCATTTTGGGGCCCAAAGTGCCAAGGAAAGAAAACTTCACGATTACACAGTCTAAGACCTGTGGAAAGGGGGACTGCTGTGACTTCTCATACTTAGAGGGGATAATCAAGAGTAAATTCCAATAAGTATATATAAAACATAAATTATTTCCCACCGTATGACTCAAACTCTGAATAACAGAGTTCATCTTCTTTTCTAACTACTTTGCAGGGACAAATACTGAAAGTAAGGGAGAAGGGAGATCACAGGCAATAGCTTCCTTATATATCTAGGAAGACTCCCCACAATGGATAAAAAAAGCTTCCATTATATGTAATAAAACAAAATAAACGTGTAGGTATCAGAAGTTGAAAGTGTGTAGTTTGGCAAGGGGAACTGACAAGCAGTATTCAAGCAAAAAAAATTTTGCTTAGAGGCACCCACATTCTGCCTTCTCTGTAGTGTGCTCCTTCAGATTTGGTGTGAAATTAAAATGTGAATAAAAGCTGTACTATTTAGCTTTGTCCTGCTTACACTGTCCAGGTTGTGCCCCAGGAATCTGGAGAGCATTCAGCAGGTAGGGCTTCTTTCATGCCATGGCCACCTCACTCCTCTGGAGTCCCCTTGGGGGGACAGGATCAGTTATTATCCATGTCTCAGAGTCTGCCTTTAGAGTCACAGGTCCAGCCACTCATTTCAGAGCTTCTGTCCTGCCAGAAGGTACTATTCAGTTCTTCTCCCCTGCTTTCTTTGTCAAGCAGCCTCTGCATTGTCCTTTGTGCCAACTCTCACACGCTGCCATTCAGCTTTCTAGACTAGCAGAAAAATATGTGTACATCACAAAAGGAGGAAAAAATAGCTCATTTCTCCCGAAAGGATGAATGAGAAACAAGGCATCTTTATGCATTTGACCAACCAGCACAAGAGAGGTCCTCTGAAACCATAAGCATGAAACCTCAGGAGTGACAGTATTTATCATACTTGGTGTAGTCTGCCTCAAATGACAGCCTTCACAGTACCTAACCCACAGTAATTCGTAGAAAAGTCATGGTGACTGCATCAGTAGATGTTGCAGCTCAGGGCTATGCATCCCCCACTGAACAACTAGCTCTGCTGTCAGGCAATCCTAAACTTCCATCCTCTGCTACCCCTGTGGAGCAGCTATCTGTTTGAAGAATCACTCCCCTCCCACAAAGAGATTGTTGTGGGTTCCTGGAATTAGACTATTGACAAAATTCAAAGTAGGTCTTGAGTTGATTCTGCTGCAAAATGTTATCCACAGATACAGGCAAATGACATGACCAGAATGAGAAGGTGTGTGATATATCATAGGGCTGTAAGACTAGCAGTTTTTAAATTTTTTTTTTTTTTAAATACATTTTCTTAATCTCATGTCATTAAAATAGGAAAATGCCGTCTCCTTTTAGGACTAAACATATTTGACTAAAATAGAATCTCACTGAAATCTGAGAAAAAAAACACAAAAAAACATTACATTTTCTGGAACATATATATTCTGGAGGTGAAACTGCTGTGCTAATATTTGTTTTCTCAGTTAATGTGAAGAACTGGGTACAGCTTACTTCAAAGGTCCCATGCGTCCCCTAGGCTAGTGTGAAACAAATGGCTGACTTGCAATTGTGTATCAGGACCTGGTTATACTCTTAGATTAGGAAACAGGCCATGCACCTGACTTATGTTTGTAAAATGAGATAAAAATGTGCAAAAAGCATTTATGAAAGTAATTTCATGTTCTAGGAAAGTTTACATGCATTGAAGTCAAGTTTCATTTGGAGCGTCAGATGGGATACTATTTAATCCAGATGTACATTCCTAGCCTGCTGATTGTCATTTTGTCCTGGGTTTCTTTCTGGATCAACATGGATGCTGCTCCAGCTAGAGTCGCACTGGGTATCACTACAGTTTTGACAATGACCACGCAAAGCTCAGGATCAAGAGCTTCCCTCCCAAAAGTAAGGAAATAATTTCACACCACCAATTTGTTACTAGCAAGAAGTATTTGTACTACTCTTTAAGTTTCTCAAAGATCTGTGTAAATTTGCATCTGATAAGGATACATGAGAAAGTGGTAACAATGTGATGTTAAACTTGCAGTCCTCTTGCATTTGGATTCAGGCAGGTTTCTGCTGGTTTGTGGGACGGCTAGAGGATTCAACCGTATGGATTTTTAGAGTTTCTGCTGATTCTGAGACTCAGTTTTCAGTATGTCAAAGCCAGATTTTCTGAAGTATTTGGGTACCTAACTGGATTTCTGAAAGTGCTTTCATTCTGTTTGACTGGGTACTTTATAAACTCTGGTCTTTTCTAGAATGTTAGACTTCATGATAAATTGGTGTTTCTAGATGTGGCACTTGGTTCAACGTATATATAAACATACATAAAAGACAGGTATATATAAAACACACACACATATACGTATATAACACATGTATACACCTAGAAGGTTTCTCTGGAGAATCTTTTCAGTGAGGAACTGCTGATGTCTTTGCTTCATGTCAGAATTTGTCCACGTTCTCATTCAAGTGTTGTCTGCAGACCTTTATCTTTTCTATGCACAAAAATACACTCACTAAAATTTTGTGTTATTTTTTTTTAATCCAGGCCAGATGCTGTAGATGGTTTTACAGATTACAAATTGGATTCTGTGTTTAGTCACGCTGACAGCTCTTTTCAGCATAGGCACAGCCTGAATGCTTCTGCTGATAGTAGTCCCAGCAGAATTTCATGTGCATGCCTAGGTTTTACAGTTTTCAGGGATAGAGCTCAAAGGTAGGTCAGTTTACAATAGTCTAAGGAGTCATGAGATATAGTCTCTCTTTACAGAAGTCCAGCATCACATGGATTGGGATCACAGCAGCAATGAAAAGCACAGATTTTTGAGTGTTTGTATAGAACATGATCCATTCCAAAAAGCATGTTGTATTTTGTGCTACTTTATCCTCAGAATCACATTTAGTCACATTCCAAATACTGTGATTTGTTCAAGTGGAGTGTGTATATATATATATAGATATAGATATATATATAGGGCAACTTCAAAAACTGCACAGATTGCGTTACTCTTTTGTTGGTAATGAGAAGATATCACTTAAAAATCTGGTGACTAAAACAGTTGATTCAGCTTCACTTGTTCACTTGGAGATATGTATAATTTTCCATGCAAACTGAAAGTCTTTTGTATATTAACTTCACATCCATTTCAAATGGATAATTTCTTAAACATTTTTTTCAGACAATTCAGTCAATATTGCGAAGTGAACACTATGAAAAGAAAGTCAACAAAGAGATAATGTTGGCAAGGAGCATACAGACTCTGTACATAGAAAATTTAAAGTCAATGAACACTGTGTCTAGGTGGTACTGCATGAATCCATGTGTTATATTTCAAGTTTCTTCCAAATTAACTGGAATTAGAGATGGTACAATCACGTTAGTGGAGATTTCTATCCACATTTCCAACTGGGCAAACATAAGCTGCCAAGAAGCTCTGCAGTGTTAGCATGCCCAAAATGCTGATGCTTTAGAAATACTTTTTGTCATATGCCTTTGATCCAGCTGAAATGTTTTTTGCTTTTGTATTCTGCCTTGTTTGAGCAGAAAAGTATTTGCTGGATAATTTTCTGGGCTTTTGCTAAGTAGAAGAAGTGGTCATATCCAGAATTTGTTGATTGTGTCTATTTGAATAGTGGAGAGTTTCTCCTCCAGCCTCAGGAATAAATACATTTTCACAGCAGCTATCAGAGAACAGTGATGCTCTGACCCTACTCCATCTTCTCCTTTCTTATTGTGTTCTTTTGCCAGAAGATAAGCACTAAGGGAAAGTACCTCACCAGGTAGCCCAACACCTTATTTCTGTCAGGCCACATCCGATTGTTGCAATTTCATTGTGTAACTCAGCTCAGCTGTACTTTAGTTTTATTCTCTATATAAGTGAACTAACATGCATGGGGAATTTTGAAGGTTCTGACTCCTGCCTTGGATGACACAGGTGCCCAAAGAAACATGGGACTGACCAAAATAAAAGTGCTTCAAAATGGGCTTTGTGTGCAAACACATCCCACCATCAGTATCTGATTCCTTACACAAAGCAGAAAGTTTTTGTTGTTGCAGGCACATAGCTATTTTAAAACCTCTTCTGTAACTTACTACCAAAATCTGTCCAGCTGAAATGCATTTAGAGATAAAAATAAAAACTGAATCAAATCACTGTTAAGTCCCCAAATGGGTCTTTAAAAGTAATGGTTTTTTTTAAGTCCTTCTACATACTGCTATGACACGGGAAGTTAGGCTGTCGATAAAACATCCATTTAAAAATTGCTCCAAGCATGAATTCTAACAGAATAAGATATGACAGGTTTATTTTTGCGAGACTACTGAAAGAGATGCAACCTTGCTTTCTGAAAGCAATAAAGCAACCTACATTTGAATATAAAAGTTCTATTTTCCCCCATCCTTCTTTTTGTCCTGTTCTTAACAACACACATCTATACAACTTAACTTTACAATTTACCTTCAGTTTCATACTGCCACATGCTAAGAGCTTCTTCTCATTCTTCTCTATTTTAGCAGCTCTTTACCACGCACACACAAGCAAAAAAAAAAAAAATAAATCAAATCATTAATCATTAAAATTCACCACTTTAAAAGGAACCTAAAAAAAACACAGAAGAACTGTGATAAGATTACTGGTCAGATATTCTGTCTGTTTCCAAGTTACTATATAAATGATTAAAGTGTTACTGTTCAGAAGTAATTACATACATATTGTTCTCAACCCTGGTACAGGATTACATGACAGAGTTCTGTTTACTTAGAACTGCTCTTTTCTGTATTAATAACCAATATTCATTGTTATACACAGATTTCATAATGACATTAAGCACTCTGGTGTCAAAAATTAAGCATAAGATTGAGACTACTAAAAAGAAAAAAATTAAAGAAAAGGAAAGAATGCAATTAATTCCAACTGAGGTTCATGTTTGCTGCACATAAGGGAAACACCTAGAAAGCCTCTTCTAAATTAAGTGCAATTATATTTCTTTGGTAAATTCTGTAGTATTTCTGTAGAATTATTATCTTTGGAGTGTTTTAAAATTCTGGGTAAGAATAGAGGGTTATATTCCAATGTAAGCAACACAGTGATAAAAAAATATACTTTTTTTTTCCTTATTCTTCCACAAAGTTGATTTCTTTGTTATAAAAGGTGAGAATAAACCATGAGAGAGGTTATATCCCAGAAAAGCTAATACTGTTCTCTAGTGCCTGTTTCAGAAAGCAGAAAGGTTCTCTTCCTCTACAGTTTTAACATAAGCTGAGAAATACTGCATCCTGCTTCCTTCATGGAGACGAAGTAATGATTTTCTGTATAGGGAGTATCTGCAAAAAAGTACTCACCAGGATGTTAAAATCTATTACAGTGATGAAATTATTTTGTGTTTGTTACAGAAGCATAGTGAGGGGTCCTGTAACCAGAGTTACCCTTACTGGTTGTGTTAGGAGGTGGTGAGGAACTCATCCAGAAAGCTGGGCTTGAATACCTTCTCTGCAGTTCAGCTAATCCATTGCTGGGATGCCCAAGAATGGTGATCCAAAATAGCAGGGTTTCTATGATCAGTTCCCCTTCCCACACATTCATATGTGTACATCTTACCCACATCTGATATTCTGTGTCTGGATTCCTCTGGTTTTATTATCATTTTCCCCTTAGGGTCTTTGACTAGATAAATGTTTATGCACCCAGCTACACCAGAAACTCTTGCCGATCAGCCAGCTGAGCAGAAATCCTGGTTGTCAGCTGGGTCATCAGTGTGGCCACACACTGCAAGGAAAACCTCATGAAACCCTGAGCTTTCTGTGTGAGCTCCAAATATGAACCAGGGAGCCTGCTTGCAGCTAGGGTCTGTGGGACTTCACCTATGCAGAGAAACTCTACGGCACACAAATCAGGAATCTGATGTAACCTACCATACACCCATGCAATACACACTTAGATCCAACGCCTTCTGGAAGTATCAGACCCACAGCACAAAAATGGCAGTATGTATTAATCAAAATACAGATTAAGGCATGTCTGAGCATCATGGGAGACATGGAGACATAGAATATGCCTTCATGTATTTTACAGTCCCAGCTGTATATAAGCTGGGGGAATAAAGGGAAGGATATCAATGTGCAATAGTGCAGAACGGTTGAGAAGTGTTAGAAAAGAATTCTTCAGAGAATCAAATGACCATTCACTTGTTATTCTATTTATTTTTATACATCTTCCCTTATGTTGAATCAACAGAATCAAAAGTTTTCAAGCACTTTCAAATGAAGCATTTGAAATAATAATGAGTTCTCTATTGTGCTGCTAACTGGGTATTTTTCAGATTGCTTCCTTCTTAAAACACTTATATAAACCAAACCTTAGCAACAACAGCCCAAGAAAATGAATTCCTTCTAATGCTATAATGCAAAACATTTGAGGACATTTTAAGTCAAGTAAGTGATAGCAACTGCATTTTACACAGTTGCATAGCATTCATATTGTGTTACTTTAATGCACAGTGCTTGATGAATGCATGTTTCTTCCCCAGGGAGCAATCTCTGCAGAAAAAAAGTCTCATTCAAAGCTCACTGAAACATCTGGGAGTCCTTCCATTCACTTCATTTGGCTTTGGATCAAATGCATTACCAAATGCAATAAAAGCATTTTATTCTAAAAGGTGCAGAGACTTGCAAAAACAAAGTCAATGAAGTCTGTGCCCTTTGGCAGCAAATGACTGCTTTCATATGTTTTTCACTATCCCCAACATATTTGGGAACTTCAAGATTCTTTGGGTTCTGGCAGACCAGTCTGAGAAAGTAACCTCTCCCTTTTTGGATGCCAAAAGTTATGAAATAAAGAAGCTCCAAGAATACATTACATTTTATATTTTGAATTAAAGTTAAAATGATGCCATAATTTTTT